TGAATTATAAATAAATGGAATTATGTATTTAGTTAGCCCTCTTATAAAAAAACCGTAAAATGAAAACTCAATGTAAATGACATTAGGGATTATACCAAAATAATTATAATAAATAAATTCTCAATTATTCTTCATTTTGTTTCAGTTTTAAAATATATAATATTTCGTTTTAATCTATTAAAACTGCAGGTTATTTTCATTTCAACGTACTTTCTTAATTGTCTTTTATGTACCGTTAATCAGTACTAATGTACAAAAAGGTCTGAAACGACTGCAAAGAGAACTTAAGGTAATTTTGAGAGCTTTTTGGAGTTGTTATAATAAATTCATCGTCAAGGTATTTTTTATATATAGAGGCAAACGGGCAGGAGGCTCACCCGATGTTAAGCGATACCGCCGCCCATGGACACTCAATAACAGAGGGTGAGTGCGTTGCGACCTTTTTAAGAATTGGTACACCTTTATTTCTATTTTCGGAATAGAAATAAAGATGTTGAGTAATTACGTTGCTCATCAACACCCACAATCTCAGTAGGTACGTTCACGAAGGCGTGGCTGGTCTCTATAAAACTTCAAAAATGGGTAGAAATTCGTGTCCATAAAAGTCCTGGTGTTGGAACAACTACGAAACAAAGCCAGGTTTTTAACTTGAGAGATCCCGCAGCTTTTTAGGATAATTCTGACCATGGCCGTCCAACGTTTTAAGGGGAACTAAGGGATTAGTCCGATAATATATTAATAATTTGTGTGTTTGCTTAGAATAATAGAATGCAGAGCTTTTCGCGTGTAAAGCGTGCGTGGTCACGGTGCCTGAAGACAAAAGGTGTGAATGTCAAAAAGTATCGGTTAAATTTAAAATTATGTAAAATAATTGTAAATTTATAAAAATACACCACCAACTTCAATCCGGTAAAAAAGTGTTTTTTTAAATGAGTAAAGGTTATGCCAATAAAAGACAATACTATAAATTATATTTTTTCCATGACTATAAATCCAAATTTTCTTTCACCGCGAATTGAACCCCGGTACTCCGAACTATGCGTTTATATCAGACGATATCCCAAGCGCTGTGTTATATTAAAAATTCGTCGCACATCTAGTTTGTTGGGTTTACGAAAACGTGCTTTAAACCAAAATTAAACGACAAACTTTCAAGTTATTCTGAGCTTGTTTATAACACAATTAAATACTTCTGTCGGTTAGTCGGAAAGATTCAATTATGAAACTCGCGATTATTCATCGGGATAGAATATTCCCTGGAATAGTGTTACTTTGTTTCATTAAATATTTTATAAATACATCCTAATTCATTTACGACAAATGCGAATATCTCTTTGACCTGGTTTATATGTAAGTTATGTGAGGCTTTCATGCACATGTATGTATGTTTGTCTACTAATACAATTCTAATAAAAATGAGAGTTATATCACTAATACGGACGGGTAAATTTTCTTTTTGTTTTTTTATATTTCTATTAGTAATATAAAAAGAAAAAAGCAGTGTTGGTCTATTAGTTTCACCGTGCGATTCTCATCCCTGAGCTCGTAGGTTCGACCCCCGGCTGTGCCTTTTTGCCAATTGACTTTTTGTCTATATCTGCTTTTTTTTTCTCAACTTTACCGTCGTGAGGAAACCGGCTTGCTTTAAACTCAATAAGTCGACGGCGTGTGTCAGGCGCAAGAGGCTGATCACCTATATGCCTATTAGATTGACGAGTGATCATGAAACAGATACAGAAATCTGAGGACCAGACCTAAAAACGTTGTATTGCCACTAATTCATTTATTTGTCAAAATACATATGACATATGGGAATCTGCGTGTCGTACTCCTTCTTTCTAGATTGGCCATGTTTAATCTTCTTTATAGTCAAGTAGGTCATTATCTTAGGTAATAAATAAAAAATTAAAGCAATATTTGATATATTATATTATTCATAAACATATTTTCTTTACACGAATAGATACATATGTACAACTAACAATTTATACGTTCAACATTTAAGAAAATACGTACAAATAAAATAATTAAAATTTACATGCTTTAGAAGCAAACAAAAATATTTTTTTTCATTGTCTGTATAGATAATAATTTTCATACAGAAGTTCTATAATTAAAAATATACTTTTTAAGCCTGCAATTTGACAGAATAGTGTCTCCTGCGACATTTTCGTAGGCGTATTGAAGCTAAAAGAAAAGGCCATTACCAATTCTGTTATACAAAGAGTAAAATTAGTCTAGTCCTGTCACAGATACATTATTTATAGTTTGACAATTCGAAATTCATAATTGACAGTTCAAACTTACAATTTAAGTTTAGAATGTAAAACAAAAACGAAACGGTTGCTTGCTTTATTTATCGTATCATGTCGCACATCTGTGATTGGACGAGAGGTTAAAGCCTTACATTTTAAGTTTAATTCGAAAGTTTTCTCATTGTTAAAGTTTTATCTTACTAGTTTGGTAATAAATCAAGCAAAACGCATCCGTTTCGACGTAAGGCGACAGTGGTCAAAATGACGGCACATTCTAGTTGATTGTGATTGGTCATAGGTCTCTAGTCCAATACGTGTTGACACGTGACATGATACGTCGTGACATTACGTCCGCTTGTCAGGGATCTAACGTAGTTTCGTCTTTTATTTTAAATTCTACACCCTAGAATCCAAATAGGTTATATACTATTTTTTTATCAGATTTAGCTATTTAGCTATTCGAACACAAGCTACATCTATTTCTATCACAACACTGTACTATGAACATTGAAGATTTTCAGCCATTTCTTATTTGCAATTGGAAAGGCACTAGTTCATATAATGTACCTTAATTGATAGGTTGTCGTTGTATTTCGTTTTTTAAAAATGATATATGTCTATGTCCGTTACTTACCTTTATATATTCCAAGTGTTATTTACAATATCTACGTGGTCGAAGGGGTTATATGTTATATATGCCAACAGCTTCGTGCCTACAACTAGAATAAAATGTACCTAAAATACACAAAAGATTGAACTAACAGGTTTAAATAATGTATTAATTAACGTAAAGAAATCTATGATTTCCATCTTTCTTTATAAACTATATAAATATTTCGTTAGCACAGAAGAAAACAAACACTCATATTTTGACAATTGACTCTCAGTTGCGTCAAAAACTAAGACATGGCGGCAAAATCATTAGACAGCCTAATCAAGCTTCGTTTATAAAATTTCGTTAGCACAGAAGAAAACAAACGCTCATATTTTGACAATCGACTCTTGGTTACGTCAAAAACTAAGACATGGTGGCAAAATCATTAGATAATGAATTATTATAAAAACATGGTAAGAAATAACTTTAGTATGTTCTATAATAAATCCGATATTAAATTATTCGTTTTCTCATATTAATGCCAACAACTTGTCTTGCAGACTGTGTGATTTTAACAAACAAAGTTCGTAATTGGCAAAGAGAATATATATCTAGGATTTGCTGTGCATAGACTATCATTGTAGTCAAACAGCTCCAACCTGTTTACAATGTTCGAAAATAAATATAATTTTAGAGTACCTTTTTAAGTGTAACGAGGAATAATTGATTTGAATTTATGTATAATTGAAACAACTTCGGGAGACTGATATTCATGGATTTTTTATAGATTAGAGGGGCAAACGAGCCTACTGGTGGCCCAAAAAGGGCAGTCATTGCAACCCATAGGCGAGGAAGGAGTCGATTTCACAGTTCACTAGTTCGCAAAAGAAAGTGGCTTGTGTAGCGGACTGTGGAAGATTTCCAGCCTTCAAGGTGATGCTGATGAAATTTTTGAATTTGTACGGCTGGTTCGGTGATGACATGAGGCGGAAGGGACCACCCCATCTCTTCAGTGAACAAACTGTGTCTGTTTATGGAACCTTTCTTGTCCCAGTTTGTGCTATACAGAATCAATTACAAGGTCCCATATCAATAAAACCAACATTAGAGCTCCTCGATAACAATCTTGGCTTTAATATTGGTTACGTGATCCCAAAGTTGTTGTGAGGAAAACATCTTGCGGTAACTGGCATGCCTTAGAACCAAAAAATTCAACGTTCTGTGCTAGGATAGAAGAGATATCCGAGGCCTAGACCTCAAAGTTAACACTCAAGTGTAAAATTTACAATTACTCACTTTTAAAAGTAACTGAGTACAGCATTGTAGATTATTTCATTATCCACAGATATATATAATTTTTTGATAAACTATAGTTGAAAAAATTTCACTAACAGAATTTATGCGAATAAACGTTTGTCTGTGGTCGTTCTACTATATTACCATTTCACATCTAAAGCTTGTTGTCTATAATTTTCTATACACTGTAAATCCATTGTTTAATATACCTACGTTGATGAAAAAAGATATTGCATTAATATATAGCAAAAAATGGTCCTTACTTGAAATGGCCCATTGGCCAGTAAAAGGAGAAGATGCTTACCAGGTACCTGGGAATATAAAATAAAAGGAAGTGTGGATCGTAGCAAATATGACTTTGGAGCAGGCCTTCACTCCTTCAAAGGTCGTGTATTTAATGTAACATAAGTTTAATGTAACTTAAATTATAGCACTCGAATAAACACTGTTATTATGTAACAAGTAATACATTTTGTGGTGTAATATTTGTATAATTTAACTGATTTTGATGTAATATAATCATTAATCATTTCATAAAAAAGCTATACTGAAAAAAAACATAAGACACAAAGAACTAAAGAACAAATTCATTTGGATGGTCAAAGGATGGCATTAAAATAGCAATATTATTCGTTTACGAAATAGTTATATTGCAACTTGATAAATAATGTAATAAATTATAGTTTAAATATATTTAAAAAAAGTTATATTTAAATAAAAACAGATTCCAAGCATTTTATCTATCGACTTTTATGTACGCAAGTACCATTCAAAACTTTACAGGACTAAATCGCATTTATAAAGTCTGAAGTTAGTAAATACAATATCTTTTAACATCGTAATTAATTAAAGGATCATCGACAAATTAGACTTTCCTCGCGCGCTGCGCAGACGCCGTGCGGCGGTGCCAGGAACAATTTTCCATTCGCGCATGCGCACAACTGGTAGATATTTTGATGGTGCGGATCGTGCGTATGCGACGCTGGAGGTGGCAGTGGCAGGGCCGATTTTAACTTTGGCATATAAATACTTGGCGCGTCTAGTCTTATCTGAAAAGAGAATGAAATACAGTCTTCTAATCGTGGGTTCCTATAAAAAGAGGTAGTCAAACTATTTTTTGAAGTTATACTTCTTTAGGCGCGTTATGAAAAATTTATGAGAGTGAAATTTTACGATGCGCGCGCACCGTGACACAAAATTATCAGTATGGGCGCCGAGCGTGCGCGAGCGAGATGGGAATAAGACAATCTACAAGTAAAAAGAAATAGAATATGCGTGACGTTAGCAGCTATGCCAATAATTTTGAATGACCATAATGACATTTGTAGTAAGTAGGTACCTTTAAAACAAATAAAGGAGTTTTAATTATTTTTTCAAAGAAATTTAACAATGCTTTTTCACAAAGACCTATTGTTACATAGTTAAAAGGTTATGAAACCTACCTAGTTATTAAATTGAATTAATAATATAATAAAATAATAAATATAATTATTAATATTAATTAATAATTGAATAATTTACTAAATATTAAATATTGTTAAGTTATTAACAAAAAATAAAGAAAGCCAAAGAAGTATAACTTCTTACGCGCGTACATAAGTACACGCACCATTTTTTTTATAAATCTTTACGTATTAAAAAATACTGCTTTTTGGGTTTGATGCCCGCGCCCTGAGCACTAAACCGGAAGTGGATTAACACAAGAGTAACCCTCTGACCCTCTGACACTTAATATCTCCCTTAATAGAACCTATCTATAAGTGACTTTACTTTTTTATAAAAGGAGGCAGGAGGCTTGTCTGATGTTAAGTGATACTACCTCCCAAGGAAACTCTGACGACTCATTGGTCTAGTGGTTAGTACCCCTGACTGCGAATCCATGTGTCCCGGGTTCGATCCCCGGCTGAGACGAACATCGATGTGATGAGCATTAGGTTTAAATATGTATTTATATGTCTATCTATCTATAATATGTATGTATATCCGTTGCCTAGTACCCACAACACAAGCTTCACCAGCTTAGCATGGGACTAGGTCAATTGGTGTGAATTGTCTTTAAAAAAAAATGTTAAATAATGTGTAGGTACTACTCCTATACAAATATAGATAATAATTACATAAGTACAATTATTTAATAGAAATCTAAGAAAAGTAAGAAATAAATCATTATTGTTGTTATTTTTAAGTAAGTATTTTTATTACCCATTTGTTGTAATTTTTTATATTTGAGCGTTCATTTCAATACTGAAGGTACAATATATCAACAAAACACAAAAAATCGGCGATTTCAAATAGGAGTCGTATATCATTTTTATTGCATCCGTGAAGAAACAACTGTTACAGTAATGTATGTTTGATAGTGTACTACGAAATCCCCCACTCAGCGTTCAGGGTGCCTTTGTAAGCATATATCTTAAATTATAAAACTGTGTGTTAAATATACTAAAGTCAGTTAAACATTGTATGTAAATTTAAGATAGATTTTTTAAATCTGTTATGTTGTAATGTTTTCGTTTCGTTTTTATTTTTTTATTTTTATCTCTGTAGTTTATTTAAAATTTGTACTGTGGTGTAGCCCTTCAGGCACCATTGTTAATCCCCTTAGTAGTTTTTTTGCATCTTCTGTACTATTTAAGTTATTTCTGTAATATTTAGTTTAAGTATTACTAAAAAAGTTACAGGGCTTTGAAAAACGAATATTATAAAATAAATTTACTAATCAGATACTAAAAAAGAATGTTGTTTTAAAGATAAAACTTTTTAACCGGATTAAAGTTATGTATTATTTAAATTTACAATTATTTAACATAATTTTAAATTTATCCGACGTTTCGCGTGGTTACGGTGACTGTTGTTTTATTAAATAGAAATATTGAAACGCTTTTTTTTACTTTTTATAAGTTTCGTTTTTTAAAGCCCTGTAACTTTTATCGTATGCATTTTAGCGAAGAAATGGCAGAGACCTTTTTTGTAGAAAATATTTCCTACAAGACACCAAAAAGGGAAATTTGAAAAAAATATTTTTTCGACGATTTACAATGAAAATAAAGAAAAAAGTTTTTTCAATGCATTTTAAATGGGAAAGGGGATCCCCCCCCCATATGCGCCAACTCAATTTTCAAGATATCAGGCTCATTTTTTAGGAGGTTTTTTTTTGTCTGACAAAGAAGCTTTTTAGATATATTTACTAAAAAAAAAAAATATTTTGAATCAGTCTACTGTATAGTTTTTTAAACTGATGTACTATCCTTTCGAATTAACAAAAGATTTCAGCGTGTTTTGTAATATTTTTTATATTGAATGAAATGCAAATGATTCGTGACTCCCACCAAAAATTAAGTAAGTTTTGTTGTTTTATTGACTAAAGGACTCATTCGTCGTTTTTCATCACTGCATAAACACAATTTCAGAGTAAGAAACGAAACTCGTTCTTTAGCTTAAATTAGAGTGATTATATCAGGGGGTAAGAACACTGCAATACTGCATGTATTAGAGTTGTCTTCTGCACTATGCTCATTCCTTAAAAGTTATTATAGCCTAGTATTATTGAGGGTGCAATATTAAAAATATTTAAGCAGAATTCATACCGATCCAGCAGTAGACCGCAACTTAAAGTTAGTTAAACAGCTCGCGCTGATGTCCCCAGCTCGGGAGTCCAGCGATATCGTTTGGGACGCGTGCATTTCTAACGAACGCGTGGGTGACTCCAACCTTTGCAAATAAACATATACTTTATAGTTCATAGTCTTAGAATTAAGAAATTGGCTGGAGGTATTAATACTTAAAGATATATATACACTATTTGTATATATATTATATAGAGCAATGTGGATCTAGTAGCTTCAGCGTGTGACTCTTATGTCTGAGGACATAGGTTCAATCCCTAGCTGTGCACCAATGGCTTTCTTTCTATGTGCGCATTTAACACTCGCTCGAACGGTTAAGGAAAAATATCGTCGGCTTTCCTTGGACCCAAAAAGTCTACGTCGTGTGTCATAGGCTGATCACCTACTTGCTTGTTAGATGATCATGACAAACAGATACAGAAATCCTCAGATGTTTGTATGATAACTTTTTAGGTATGGGCTGAGGCCTAAATATGAGGCTGAGGCATAAAGGTTGTAGCGCCACTGATTTATTTATTTTTATATGTACTAAACTTCCTTGTATTATTCTTTCTCTCGGTGTTTAACTATTTCATTAAACGTTTAATATTTCTCTACCCAAAAACATTTTCTTCTTAGTACTTTGTATAAATTTTGATAACCGTCTCAAATGTATGATTTAGTTCACTGGCTTATATAAACTTTACACACTTTCACAAGCTAAGCTGTTTTGTATAAGACTAAAATTTCTTGCGGAGTTAATATGAATGGTACACCGTAGCGCGTCCTCTCATATATCAGTACCTACTTGTAAATAATTATTTGATTTCACTTCACTATAATGCATTTAAAACTAGCGAACTGTAGAATAAGTAGAAGTGATCTTTAATGGCCTAGTCAATAAAAAGCCATTCCCTCAAAGATTTGCCACGCAGTGATGCGCACGCTAAATGGCAGTGATGGGTCAAAAGCTCGCTCGCCATTATTATTATTATTATTATTTTTCAAATATAATTGATTTTCATTCGAATTTAAGACAGTGGCATTATAAGTTTAAAGTCTATCCGACAATCGTGATATAACTACAATAGTTCAAGAACACTTACATAAGTTGTTTAGAGGGTGGCGCTTTAACGAGAGGAGTTTGGACTGCGGTGTTGAAGGCTGCACCCGCTGGGCTGGAGATGAATAAGTTGTCTGCGCCGATTGTGACCGCGTCGTGCGAAGCCCCGAGTAACAGTCCACCGCGGGCGTCTCTTATTTCTAAACGGGCTACGTTCACCTCTAAACGATCATGACCTGTATAAAGACATTATTCAACCATCAATGTTTTAATGGTGAAAAACAAATAGTACTTTTAGTGCACCTAGGATACTAGTTTAAAAAAATTATCAAACAAAAAACAATTGATTTCATTTTTTTAACAAAGATAATAAAAGAGGTATTCTAGGTAAATAAGTAGTGATGTGCTTTAATATATGTGTTTATTCATTAAAAAATATTTGTGTTTCTTTATTTTTATTCTATTTTATTTTATTTTATCTTCTATAAAAAGACACAGTAGACACAATTGAGATAAAATAATATAGTTTTAAATCACCTACACAGTATTATATCTCAATCTTCAAATCTATTAAAATTTAAAGTTAAAAAAGACTTAATTTACTAGTCTTAAAAAATATTAATCAACAGATTAAATACGGTAAACTGTGTAATTCTTACTGTTCAATTTGTTTTTTGTTTAAATTATAATCTATCAACGCACATAAATCTAGCTGCTACTTTATGAACCAATTCGACTAATAGTCAAGAAAAGAGCATACCAATTCTTAAAACAACACACAAATTACACACTTAAAATATACCTTATTCCTTTTTTATTTCCATATTTTTTTTATTATTTTGTGTGTTTCGTTAATAATAAATGTTGTCTGTCTGTCTCTGTAAAAGCCCGGCAACGCATTTGCGAGCTCATGCCAGTTTGCCCCTGGTACATAAAAAATGTGCATGCTTACAAAGTACGCATGTCAGAAGTGAAACTTCTTTGGAAAACTATTTTTTAGGAATTTAATTGGCATTCAAATATTAAAAGCGCCTAAAGAAGTTTCACTTCAAAAAAAATCCACTAACGCTGTATTTTCTAATATTAAATGCGGTAAAGAGATAACCATTAAAGCTTTTACTTACCTAAATACAGCCTGCTCTGTACAAAGCCGTTCACATCTCGAGTTGACACAGTGAAATTCCTTGACGACTCAATGGATATCGGATGCCCTCGTCGCGACTTAATACTTGACGCAAAAAGTGAATCCAATACTAGAGCTTGTCCCAACAATTGTAGTCCCCCTGGTACTATTCGTAGTTGACCCATTCCTTCCTAAAAAAATGTATATATACAAGTGATTGTTAGGTAATTGTTGTTTTTTATATGAGGTTCTTTCTGTTTTTATAATTTCGTTAAATATGTATTTTTGTTTTCGTATTTGTATGTAAATGTCCGTTAATTTATTGCTGTATAAAATTAAAAAAAAATATATTCGGAACGTCAAATCTGTGCTGTTCTATGGGTGTGAACGAACGACCTCTCGCACCCGCTCCAAGACTTCTTCAACCGCTGTCTTCGCCGTATTCTGAATGAATGAAAACATCGTGAGGAAACCGACATGTCTTACCCAAAAAGTCGACGGCGTGTGTCAGGCACTGGAGGCTGATCACCTACTTGCCTATTAGATTTAAAAATGATCATGAAACAGATTCAGAAATCTGAGGCCAAGGTTGTAGCGCCACTGATTTATTTAAGACATTTAATATATGTGTTGTATAAAAATACTTACTGAATTAAAATCTAAAACTTTCAAAACCCAGAGCGTCAAAGCGAGATTGATAATCATCATAAACATGAGTGCCATGACAAGAATGTAGAGACATTTCTTCCGCCAGCCATAAATGCCAACTTTGAATTGGCTATTATAACTGTTTCTGATCGAGTCCGCCTTTGTGTCTCGGCCTGCATTGTTGTTGAGGATTGGCTCCGGAGTGATCTTGTCGGCGTAAGGGATTCTGAAAACAAAATATTGCTTGAGATGTGACGTTTCATTACCTCAGGGTAAACTCTGTTGAAATGTGCTTTGGAAATTGAATGCCAGCCCTGCGATTCTGTAACTCACTTTTCGAACTCACACAGCGGTTTTCGCATCGTCGGTAACTCTGAAAGGTGGGAGCTTGTAGTTTATTGTTTATTAGAATGCCAAATCATAAAATGACTGCTTCACGACTGATTTGAGAGCGACCGCCGATGCGAAAACCGCTGCGTGAGTTCGAAAAGTGAGTTACCGAATCGCAGGGCTGGATTAAAAGGATTTCAATGTCAATATTTTTTCATCTGTAACGTCTGCGTAGCATTTATGAATTTATTTTGTACTGGCACTGGCTGGGTATATAATTTTAATATTTTGGATTGGCTACTTTTAAAAGTACTATCCAGCTCAAATTTGATTTCATGTATTTTCTATTTTTTTGTATTGCATTGTAATTCATGAACTTTTAGATTGTTTTTTTTATTTAATTTTAGATGAAGTTAGGTAATTGTATTATTTTTCAGTGTTGATTTGGTTTTGCACTTCTTGCAATATTTTATTCCCTTACTAGGGTTGCCTGGAAGAGATCGCTTGTTAACGATAAGGCCGCCTGTTGCATCCTAAATAATTTATGTTGTATGTTATAATTAAATAAATAAATCTATATAGTATATTTCTACGGGATAATGTTGTGTTTACATAAAAATAATGTTTAAAATTGTTCATGTGCTGAAGGAATATATAGAGTACCAATTGACAAGACTTATGCCATAATCGACGGTATATAATACTGATAACGATAAGGTGCCATCTGAAACATAGGTTCTAACATATATATAGTGATTAGCGCTTCCGTATTAGAAAGACATTTTTTTAATAGAACAGGGGGCAAACGGGTAGGAGGATCACCTGATGTGTTGGACACTTAATGGCAGAGGGCTCGCGAGTGCGTTGCCAGCCTTTTAAGAATTGGAACGCTCTTTTCTTGAAGGACTCTAAGTCGAATTGGTTCGGAAACTTTTCAGTGGGCAGCTGGTTCCACATAGTTAATATTATTTATTCCATCTGTGGCTATATATTTAGTATAATTATTATATATAATTTATGTTAGCTTTATTACGAAATAAATAAACACAACAGGCGTCGAACACGTCTAACGAAAGTAGTTTAACCACTCAGCTCCCACTAGATAGGATTTTTATTACAGTATGAATAGATCAGCGTAAATAAAAGCAAGAATCTCATAAAATATTTGAAGCGCGCTCAAAATATATTGTAATGGAAACAATATTTTGGACTACGATGGAACGTTTACAACTAGCTCTTTGAAACACATCTCGCTTGCATAAATCATAACTTTATTTCCTTTAGCTCAACAGATCGTAGCGTATCCCGCTTTGGTATACAAGTAAAAGTAAATTGTATTAAATAATATTGTCACACAATTGTTACGTTTTCTTATTGCTAACAAAAAGAGTGACGAATTGTTATACATGGATTCGTATAGGTATATCGTTATTATTAATATAAATTATATTATTAGTATGTATTTAAACACACTAGCAGCTTAATAAGCTGATGCGCGTGTATTTTGAGATTTGGAGAAACTATCCAATCTATTTTTAAAGGAGTTCAGAGATGGTGCACTGATTACACTTTCCGGAATCCTATTCCAGTCGGCCACTGCTCGGTTTGGGAGAAAGTTCTTTAGGGAATTTGTGTTATGTTGAGTGGTCTTAAGTTTTAAAGAACAAATGTGTATTTTCACTTAAAATAAAGATTACTTTATACTATTATGACTTTATTTAGCAGTTACGATTTCGTTTTTTTCAACCTTGATGGCTGGAAGTCTTCCACAGTCCATTTCACAAGGCACTTTCTTTTGCGAACTAGCGAAGTATGGAATCGTCTCCCGGGGTTCTGGAGAAACACGACTATTCCAAGTTAGAAGGTACTCCCTCAAAGGCTGGCAACACACCGACTAAAATTGGGTGTCAATGGGTTGCGATGACTGCTTTTTGAGCATCCTGTAGGCTCATTTGCCCCGTTTACATTATAAAAAAATGATTAAATTTTCTCTTTTTATCTATATTGTACTTTTATAAACAAAATATAATATATAAAATAGAAAACAAATTGTAATTTGATTATACTTTGTATTCTTTATCACTTTACTTTATTGTTACTGTTCTATTTCTTTTATAATATTGATATGTGAAGCTGTAATATCTTTATATATATAATTCTTCTGTGAGTGTGTATGTCACTGAACTTCTCTCAAACGACTGGACCGATTTTGATGAAATTTTTTGTGTGTGTTCAAGGGGATCTGGGAATGGTTTAGATTCACAAATCAGCCCGGCAGATGGCACTGCAGTCGGTACTTTCATACTTTGCTTAATATCCTAATCGCTTTAAATATCATGCAGGACAACGTCTGTGGGCTCCACTAGTTATTTATAAATAAATGAATAATGAATTGCTCCTTTAAAAAAATGCCTAGAAGTAAACCCATGTATGTCCTGTATGTTCGTAAAAAATAATAATTTAAATATGAACCCATATTTTCTCTCATGTGTACTTAAATCAAATATTTTTTTATTCTTTCAAGTATAATGAAATAGTAGCCATCGAGATTTTTCTTAGCTCCTCGTTGTAGGAGCTCCTACCTTGGCAACTATAACTGTTGTAATTATAATGTTCTGAGAAAATAATACTTCTAATATAGAACTATCTATCGAGCTCCTAATCGTAACAATTATCCTAATCCTTGGGATTGATTTGCTCCAGTTCAAATATTTGGCTGCTCTGCCTTACAAACAATTTGTATGACTTAAAACTTGGCGATTAAAAAGAGTGGCGGAGAGTTTCTTGCCCGCTTTACGCTCTTGACTTGCGAAATGGAATCAATTTAATATCTATTCTGATTACGTTCATGTTACCTATATGAATAAAAATATTGAGAGTTTGAGTTTGAGCTGCCCACCGAAGATTTTCCTTCAACCACCAATGCGCGGTGGTATCACCTAACATCAGAAATTTCGACCCATTTGTCTCCTGTTGTTTAAAATCTCCAACAGACGATCATATTGTGTCATTTTGAAACTTTACTAGATTTATAGAGAATTATCAAAAGATTTTTAAAAATAACTTTTAAGATTAAGAAAATCCTTATGTACGCTAAACTTAAATTTATGAACCAATAAAATAGGTTGAAAATGTGGACCTATCTTACTATATACTGCCTACTCTGCTGGTACCGGCTAAACATTTGTTTGTATACTTTAAGAATCGATTAAAGCATTAATTATATTCATCTCATGTAAAGCAAAATGTAGTCCCTTACGAGCATCTTGTAACACTAACTAATTGGCAATTCACGGTTATAAATCATGAAAAGTTTTATACGAATACTTTTATTTATTTACACTTCGTTACCTTATATAAAACATACATATAAAAAAAGCAGGTTACATTAGTTAGGCAACGGGCCTTATCGCTAACAAGCGATTTCTTCCAGTCAACCCTACTATTTCTTTTCGTTTATTTAGCGTCCTTAATGTAAATTTTTTTTCGTTGATAAGTGTACTAAAGTAACCTACATAAATAAATAATATTTGATTTAAATGAAATGCTGCTAGCGTTAAAGGTTGCCACAGGGACCAAGCTTTTTAAATTAGTTTTAATTTTCTTTTTATTTATTTTTATTATTACTACCTAGGTTAAGAAAATTGTGAGTACTGTATATTTGATTGTTGTCTAGGTTTTAAAACTCAAAAAAACGTCTTAAGCAACAAACTTACATAAACCGACGATACATACACTATGTAACGTCGGTATAACGTATAACGCAGACTGTATGTAATCTGAAACTATAATCATAAGCATATTTCTCATTACAAATTACACAATTTACATAGCAAAACACTGATCCGTTAAACAGGAATAAAAATTGTAGTTTTATTTTAGCCGCGGCATCAGTTGGGCTACGTGCCTAATATACTTTGATCACGCGATGCTAGATTTATACCAAGCCGTATAAAAATTTAGGCTTGTGCTTTTTGTAGCAAAAATTTGGGCTCAAAGAATTTATCTATCATCAATATTTATTTCAGATAAATGTTTTAGTATAGCGAGCAGTGTTCGACTAGTGGCTTCACCGTGCGACTCTCATACCTGAGGTCGTAGGTTCGATCCCCGGCTGTGCACCAATGTGACCAAATAGGCCATTAAATGAGCCAATTTTTAAATAAGGAGCAAAATATTATAAACAGCTGTTACCCAAATGCTACTTTTAAATATATTATAAAGAACATTGTAAGAGAGACTTCCAGTAAAGCGGATAATCTTATTATATTTATAGGCAATAGAGGGAATCTAAACAAAAAGGAGCTTATTAGCTGCTATGAAAAATTGTGCCTACTTAATACTAAAAATCTAATTATGTTTACATTCCCTTATAGTAACACTTTAGTCAGCATGAAAATAATGCGAGACATATTTTAAATCAGACAATGCACACATTAACATTGTACAATAAAAACTTTACACTAATTGATACCAATAGGTACATTAGTTGTAATAATTATTTTTTGACAAAGGATAGATATAATCTACCTACATATTTTAAAAGACAGATAGCTGATTCGCTATCATATTTATTGTATATAACAGCCAAGAATTTGGCTAGACAACCTGCTTCTATTGAGCAGGTTTTAGTTAGTAAGACCTTGGAAGATATTCCAAGAAATAGTATATCTAATTTAAATTAGACACTAAGACAACAGAGAGTCTCTCTGGCCTAGAATTAGAAAGTAAGCTAAGTAAATTTAAGAACAATACTATCAATCTGGTTCACCAAAATATACAAGGCATGAAAAGTAAATTACTGGAAATTGAGTTGTTTTTGAGCAGTGAAAATGTTGACATACTGTGTATTACAGAACACTGGTTAAAGACATGTGAACTTATGTTCAATTTTTGTAGCCATCAGATTGGTAGTTCGTTCTGCAGAGGAAATGCAATACACGGTGGCTCATTAATATTGTTTAGTAAAAAAATAAAATTTAAAGAAAGGAAGGACATAGTGAGCCTCTCTGTGGAACGCCTTATAGAAGTA